ATTTGAGTGTTCATAAGTCCAAAGATCTAGGTGAATTAGTTCATTTGGATATTTGGTGTCCCTATCATGTTCAAAGTAGGGAAGGTTTTAAATACTTCCTTACTATTGTTGACGACTTCACTCGTGTTGTTTGAGTCTTTCTTTTGAAAAGAAAACATGAGGTTGGTGAGAATATTATAACTTTTTATAATCTGATTAACACCCAATTTGGAACATCTATTAAAATATTCAGAAGCAATAATGGTTCTGAATTTACAAATCAAATATTAAGTGAGTTTTTTTAAAATGAGTCATACATCAGACGTCTTGTTTTTATATTCCCCAACAGAACGGGATTGTTGAACAAAAACACCGTCATTTACTTAATGTAGCTAGGGCTCTTATGTTTTAGGAAAGGGTTCCTTTGAATATGTGTAGTGAGTGCATTCTTACCCCTACTTATCTAATAAATAAAACACATTCGTCTGTTTTGAATGGTAAGTGCCCTTATGAACTTTTTTACCGATTCCAACCTGTTATTACTTATCTTCGAAACTATGGATGTTTGTGCTTTGTTGTTATACCTAACATCACAGATAAATTTTCACCTAAATCTGAAAATGTGTTTTATTGGAATATGCTAATTCAAAGAAGGGATACAAGCTTTATAGTTTGGATTCACACAAAATTATTGTCTCCTGTGATGTTAAGTTTTATGAAAATGTATTTCCTTTTAAGATGAATATAGACTGGTTAGGTGAGTCCAGTAGTAACGATGTTAATAGATTAAATTTCTTTGACTATGTGATTGGTTCATCTAATGAATTTGTTGGTTCACCACCCAATGATGAGAATGGAGACCAATCTAATGATGAGAATTCTCATCAATCGTTCTCTTCCCCTAGTAACCGTAGTTTACTAGGTAGCCCAACTAGAGCTACCAATCGGAAATCTCTAGGCAGCTCAAATGATTCAATTAATCGAGGTTCTTCTCATGAAAATGGCCTTGAAAGAGTTACCAGTTGGCAACCTTTGAGTAGCTCTGAAGTGACTGCCAGTACTCAACGTGATGCTGAAATGCAATCGGAGGAACATAATAGACGTATTATGAAACTCAGTCCTTGGGTCTCATCTCTGAGGGTACTCAGGGTTTACCTTCATCTTCAACCCAGTCTGCTAGAAAGTCTACTAGGGTGTCTATTTTTTCTCGAAAATTTGATGATTTTGTTATAGAAGAAAAAGTAAAATATGGATTAGGAAAAGTTGTGAATATTCTTGTCTCTCTTTTGATAATTTGTGTTTTGCTTCAAATCTTAATAAATCTGTTGAACCAACATTTCAAGAGACTTGTAGTGATAATAATTGGATAAATGCTATGAATGATGAAATGGAAGCCTTACATATAAATGAAACTTGGTTTATTACAGACTTACCTCATGGTAGAAAGGCTATAGGCTGAGTGGATTTACAAGATTAAGTATAAGTCCCCTGGAGAGATAGAAAGATACAAAGCCAGACTTATTGCTAAAGGGTATAGTCAAAGAGAAGACCTCGACTATGAGGAATTTTGTCTCCTATTGTCAAAATGGTCACTGTGCAATGTATTATCGCTTTAGTTGTTTAGTTTAAATGGAATATGTTTCAATTAGATGTTAATAATGCTTTTTTATATGAAAATTTAATTGAAGATGTTTGCATGACGTTACCTGAGGGTTATCATAATCCAGAAGATAAACGTGTATGTAAACTTGTTAAATCTCTGTATGGTTTAAAGCAAGCTCCTCGTCAATGGTATGCTAAACTTTCTTCTTGTTTAATTGATCATGGTTTTATTCAAAGCATCAGTGATTATTTTTTGTTTACTAAAAGAGTTGGATCTGTTTTTGTTATTTTATTGGTTTATGTAGATGATATTGTTATAACTGGAAATAATCAAACTGAAGTAAACAAAGTAAAAGAATACTTGAAAAGTAAGTTTTTCATAAAAGATTTAGGAAAATTAAAGTTCTTAGGAATTGAAAATTTAGATTGTATTGGTGGGGTTTGTATGTCTCAAAGAAAATATTGTCTATAATTATTAAATGACTTTAGATATTTAGGTTGTAAACCTTGTAATACACCTATGGATATGAACTTAGTTGTAACTGATTCTAGTAGTTCTGAAGACCCCCTTTAACCGATTATACATGATATCAAAGGTTAATTGGAAGATTGATTTATCTTCTAGCTACTAGACCAATTATTGCCTTTGTTGTTCATTGTCTTAGTCAGTTTATGCATTCACCTAGACAATCTCATTTGAATCTTGCTCTTGGAATTCTCAGGTATTTGAAGTTGTCTCCCGGTAAGGGTGTTAGCTTTACCAGGTCTGGAATTTTTTTGTTTAACTGATTTTGTTGACGCTAATAGGGGTAAATGCCTTTCATACGCTCTGTTACTTGTTTTTTGTTTAGTTCTTGGTAACTCCATGATTTCCTGGAAAAGTAAGAAACAAAGTACTGTTTCTCGCTCTTCTGCAGAATCTAAATATCGTGTCATGGCTTCTGCCACTTGTGAAATTATTTGGGTTCTCAAAATTATATCAGATTTAAATATAAAAGATTTACTTCCTGTAAGTTTATTTTGCGATAATAAATCTGCTATCCAAATAGTCAATAATCCTGTCTTTCATGAACGTACTAAACATATTGAAATTGATATTTATCAAATTCGGGAAAATATTAGTAAGAGATTGTTAAAAATTATAAAAATTCTTTCTTTAGAACAACGTGTCGATATCTTCCCAAAGGCTCTTGGTGTTAATCATCATAACTTTTTATGTTCAAAGTTGAGAATGATTGATTTGTTTCAAAAGTCAAGATTGAGGACGAGTATTGAAATATAATGTATTTTTAACAATCTTAACTTTTGTTCCTTTTCTGTCAAGTTTATTTTTAATAAGAACATGTACTGTCAAAGTTTGAAAGTTAAAGGGCTAGGCACTGTGCCTCGCTTTTTGGGATTCATGGAGGGTAGCGGCACATTTCTTCTTTTCTTTGGGATCTCTTTTGTAAATATCTTGTAAATGTAAATAGGTTTATTTTCTCAAGAATTCTTAGTTTTATAGTTTTCATTTTGTAATCTCTCAAATATTCTCTCTAGTCTTTTTCTCGGTTTAGCTAGCTAGATCTTATATGTAATCCTGGGTTTACATTTTGTAATCTCTTTTTTATTATAAGCAATAACATCCTTTTGGTTATCATTTTGTAGAGTTATTAAAAACCTGTTTTTAGCTTCAAATATGATAAAAAAGACGTATAATAGAGTGGGTGTAACTTGTTTTAATTTTAGATGAAAATAATGCGAATGGTAATAGAATTTAGAGCCATGAAATCCAAAATATTACAAGATTTTGTTGTGCAAGAGGCATTGATCTTTATAACTCCTTCTCTGCCCATTATTCACTTAGGGGGCGTTTGGTTCATAGAATGGAATTTGATGAAATTGGAATTCATCAAATGAATTTGACTTTGAGGGAATGAAATGGAATTTGATGGAATTTGACCATGTCTTTTGATTGCGTTTGGTTGGATGGAATTGGAATAGAATTCTTAACGGAATTGGAATTTTTTTTGTTTCGTTCACGGAATTCAACGAGAAAATTACATAGATGACATTTCGAGAAAATCCTTTTTAGGATGGAAAGAACGAGAGAGAGGTCGAGCATACCAGATCGAACAGTTTTGAATAAGGATGGCAAAAAAGAAAACCAAAACCAAAACCAAAACCAAAACCGATGGTGAAAACGAAACTTTCAGGCCAGGTTCGAGGACATCTTATCGACGACGGGGGGGATCGGGGACAAATTTGGGGATTTTAACGGGAGCGAGGACGGTGATCATCGGCCCGGGCCGACCTGATATGTGTATATATATTACTTTTAATTTATATACATATATATATATATATATATATCATTAAAAGAAAATAGTAACATTAAAATTAAAAAAAAAAACTTTTATCCACTTTACTTCAAGAACCAAATAAGGCTCACGAAAAAGTGTAGTTTATTTGTCTAATTGTGAAATCGTGATTTTAGTTGTATGATGTTTGAAGTTCTGTTTATTTTATATTGTAATCTAATACATTGTTTGTAATTGGTTCGATTATGTTTGAGACATTTAAACTTGCATCTTTAAAAAATTGTAATTTACTTTCAGTTGTGAAAATTAACATATTGTAATTTTTTTAGATCTGTTTCGTGTTTCGGTTTTGGGTTCGGTTATAACCAACGGTGAACGGGAAAAAAAGGATTTTTACCTTAACAGGTTCCCCAACTGGGATCAGGGAAACCGCCGGGACCCGACGGGGATCGGGGCGGTCACGGGGACGGTTTTAGTTATCGGTTTCGGGGACAGGGATACCAATAACCGGCCCAAACCTGGTCCGTTGCCATTATTAGTTTTAAACAAGATCGAGCAAGGGAGATCGAGCATAACAGAATAGAGCAAATCGAGATATAGCGTCGATGAATGGATGAGGGCTAAGAAATTTGTCGGATTGGAATTTGAAATCCATAGTATATGCTGTGGAATTGTGAAATCAATTGTGAAATCAATAACTTAAGGAATTTGTTGGAATTAGAAGGATTCCTTCATATCAATTATGTGAACCAAACATTCTATTTGGAATTTGGTCAAAGAATTGAACATTCCAATTTCTTTCAATTCCACCAAATTCTCATGATCCAAACAACCCCTTAGTTTTCCAATAAATTCGTCCAACCTGATTCCTTGGAATTCCCCCCTGCTTAAGTTTGCGACCATGGATCCCAACCCAAAAAGATGGAACTTTTATATTATAGGAGTTAGTGGCTCTGCATGTGCTCTCCCATTTCACTGTTTTGCCTTTATAGGATAATAACTCACCGTCCATCCTTAAGATTCTCAACCTTCTTTCTTATAAATTTCTCTTTCATTCTCTTTCCTTCTCACTCATTCATTCTCTCTCTCCTTCTCTCTCTCTCTCTCTCTCTATATATATATATATATATATTATATTGTTAACCTGTATCTGTTAAGAGTCAGCATATAGCAATAAACTTCAATGGGTGAAGAACAGAAAGTGGTTAGTACTGATATCTTTTCATATCTGAGTGCAGTTTAGTTGGGTTAAAGTGTGATCTCTGATGTGGGTTAAAGTCGTCATTTTCTTGTTTCTTACAGGAAGAGCCAAAGGCAGAAGAAGTGAAGGCAGATGAAGTGAAGCCAGAGGAAAAGAAAGAAGAGGCGAAGCCAGACGAAAAGAAAGAAGAAAATGGTGAAGAGAAACCTCCTGCTGAAGAGAAGAAAGAAGACGAACCAAAACCACCCTCTCCCTTGGTGTTGTATATAGATTTGCATTGTGTTGGATGTGCCAAAAAGATTGAGAAATCACTTCTGAGAATTCCAGGTTCCATCTCTCTCTCTCTCTCTCTCTCTCTCTATATATATATATATATATATAATACTTGCAGTTGATTGAAGAATTACTAAGAGTAGCTAGGTGTATATATATATATGTTTTGCAGGAGTGGTGGCGGTGGAGACAGATATGGTGAAGAACCAAGTGACTATAAAGGGAGTGGTGGAACCACAAGCAGTTTGTGACAAGATAACGAAGAAAACGAAGAGAAGCGCCAAAGTGTTGTCTCCTCTTCCAGCCGTCGAGGGTGAACCCATCCCTCAAGTGGTTGCATCTCAGGTCCCTGGTTTAACCACCGTCGAGTTGAACGTCAATATGCACTGTGAAGCCTGCGCTCAACAACTCAAGCGCAAAATCCTCCGAATGAAAGGTACCTATACCCTTTTTTTTATCACTACAATAAAATCAGTTTTATAAAACTTCAAAAATGTCCATATTATCATACAATTAAAGGGGTTATAATAAGTTGATAATCAATTAATATGCAGGTGTAAGAACAGTGGAGACAGAAGTGAGTTCAAGTAAAGTGATGGTGACAGGGAGTATGGACGGAGAGAAGCTGGTGGAGTATGTGTACAGGCGCACCAAAAAACAAGCAAAGATCGTACCACAACCGGAGCCGGAGCCGGAGCCGGAGCCGGAAGCAGAAGCAGCAGCGGCTGAGAAGCCCAAAGAAGAAGAAGCTGCGGCTAAAGTGGAAGAGAAACCGGCAGAAGAAGGAAAGCCGGAAGAGAAAGCAGGTGCGGAAGAAGAGAAGAAAGAAGGGGAGGCAAAGAAGGATGGAGGAGAGAAGATGGAGTTGGTTGATATGCAGAGAATGATGTATTATCATCAGTACCCGCCGCTTTACGTGATGGAGAGAATCCCACCACCACAACTGTTTTCCGACGAGAATCCCAATGCATGCTCCATTTCTTGAATTCCAATATATATATATATATATATATGATAATATTAATTCAATCACAAATATTTTAGAATGTGATGTGAATTATACTCCATTGTTGATCACATAATCAATATATAATTATCACTTCTTTCTTTTTAGTTCATCTTTAACATACGTTTAATTTTTCATTTCCTAACACAAGGGATTTGAGGTTTTAGAAAAGGAATCTTCATAGAGGTTTTTAGAAATGTATCTAAAACTACATTATTGAAAAAGATTTAAGTAATAAAAATGAGAAAGGTAACTAAAGGTTGGATGACGTTTAAGAAAGGATTTATAGATTAATTATATGGTGAAAAACGTCAGTTACAAAATTTAGAGAAGTTTTTAATAAAAAGACTCTAAGAAGTTACATCAATTTCTAACAACACATTTTAAGCTTCTCTGAAGATAAAAAAAACAATTAATACTTTTAAAATTAAATTAAAAAAGATTAGATTATGTTTTAAAAAATGTATCTAAAATATTTATTTAAAAAGATAAACGAAAATTATATAAGAAATATAAACATATCACTTCTTATAGCTCAATCACGGTATTATACAGACGAACCCTAGATCTTTTGGGTCTATGAAATGACTTCTCGTTAATCCGATCATCGTTCGAATTTGTCATCGAATCTCTTTGACCTCATCACGCTCGAATCTGTCTTCCAATCTCGTTAATCTCCTCACTATCACTGGAATCTGTCGTCGAATATTGTTGATTTCATCACCATCGCTTGAATTTGTCGTAACTCAAATCACTCTTTGTGTTTCTCTCTGGATCGGTTGTTGGAACAAGCACTTGATCTCTGTTTAGTGATTCATCAAAGAATATCGATTTCAAATATGATTGTTTGTTTCAACAGATTCACTTTTGTTTAGTTGCTTTCACTTTCATAGTCAAATGGATCATGTTGTGGATCCATTATTCTTATAAACCAAGTACCTTGTAAAGGCTACAAACATATTTACTTCAATATTCGCTGGTACCAATTTCTAAGCTCGTCATAATACGTGAATAGATGGGGCCCACCGTTGGAAACAATCGAAGTACACGAATAAGTAGTGTTTGTATTTTTCGGAACATGCAAGTATTCATTTCTTTTTCCTGTTTGTAGGTTTATTCGGTTGTCAAGTCGAATCTTTCAGTTTATTAAAGAAAATTGAGCATGTTATGAAATAATCAGGATGTACATTATGTAACCATCATCTACATGTGATTTATCCTTCAACTATTGCTAATATGGTTTCATTGGTAATGAGACAGTCACATTTGATTTGTTGTTTTAGTGGTTTGATACCATGTCTCACCATGATTGCTAATATGGTTGGTACCAAAATTTGCTTTGAGTTATTATTTCTTGTTGCTTCATAAGATAGATCAACGTCAAAGTTAGTGTTATTACTATATTAATAATTGTTGATTGTAATCTGTATTGTTTATAGGAATAGTGATCTTGATCCTTTCATATATTTGTATGTTCATGATTGACTATTCTGCACTGGAGTAGAACCTTTTATAGAAAAGGTATCAACTCTGTTAATTCATGTTCAACTTATATGAAACTTGCAAGGAGTTACTATCTAGATGTGAACAAGTAAGTTTGACTACCATTTTTATTTTTCCTTAAGTATATATACCATCAGTTCTCTAAGTGAAGACTGTATTTTGTATGTCAAGAGATTGGCTTTGTTTATGTGAATTGTTCTTGAGATCAACTACAATAAGTTCATGACATGTTTGTACGTTCACTTATTGATCTTGAGTTGGACACTCATACTAAAAAAATGCAAGCATCCAAAGTTTATTCCAATGGACCTCTTATCAGTTTGTTTATTTACTAGTATACTACATATCCTACCGTTTCTTTCAGTTTAATTTTTTAAAGAGTTTGGAGATCGAGAAGAAAATTAATAAAATTGGACGGTGCTAAACGACCAATGATTCCCTTTTTCTACTGTCTACTAACAATAAAGGTAACCACTCTAATTGTCTTCTATTTAGTCGCGTTACGCTCATATGTAGACATTTGTTTAAGAGTACATTAAATTTTTATATTCTTTACAATCATATAAGATTCTCTCATATATGTGCAAGTTGTCGTGGGTAAATTCCAAACTCAATCTTGCTTGGACTAAATCAAATCCTGTACCTTTCTTAACTCAAGATTATCATCAATCGATCATATTAAGATAAATAGAGGACATGCAAGTAATTTATCTTACAAATACTAACATTTTTCTGGTAAAAGTCAACACATTCACTTAACTTACCGGGTAAGATTTGGGTCATTTAACTTGAAGTTATATTTAGGTTTTAAGTATTCAGTTTTCTAATGAATTTTTTTTTATGGGTTATTGACTTGTGTAGATAAAGAGGCAATCGTATGTGCAAAGTAACAAACGTGGTTCTACTTCAATATAAAAAGGTTAGAAAATAGATAGGAGGTGATAAGTTTAGTAACAAGTTCTGTGAGAAGTTTAGGAAGTATGTTAGAAAATGGATGTATGGATTGATTGAAAATTAGGGCTTGTTTTGAAAAATTCTTGTCTTATATACGATAAATGTATGAAAATTTATTGTTCTGAGATTTTTATGTTGTTTTGTTGATTAGTATTATAATTTTTAGTATATGATATATAAATATAGAGCTAAAATATGGATGAAAAAGATAATATGCTCTTTAGAAAGGAATTGATCATTTAAAAGTGTATCTAAAGATAACTTTTATAGAAAGTTTTGATTATTTGTATCTAAAGATAACATTTAGAGAATGTTCCCAAAGTGTAGCTAAAGGACATCTTTAGAGAAGGCTTAGGTAAAATGTCACTAAAGACGTTACCTTTATATAAGCTTTTCTATAAACCTTCTCTGAAGGTTTCTTTTAGAGACGTTTCTAAACCGTCACAAATACTTGAAAAATGTCACTAATAAATACTTTTAGAGAGGGTTTTTGCAAAAAGTTGATTAATCTTGAGAAGTTTCGAAAGTGTATCTAAAGCCCAAAAAAGTGCCTCTAAAAGCTAACCAAAACACACCTTACGAAAACCCTCCCTACAACTTTTACCTACCCTTATATGAAGAACCTTTGTAACGGAATTGGAAAAGCTTTCTAAAGCCCTTAGAGAAACTTTTACTACTTTTAAGTTTTAAACAAAATCTTCTCTAAAATCCTTTTTTCTTGTAGTGGTATGTTTAATCAACTAACGATCATGGGAAGCTAAAGTCTTTAACAATTCATACAAAAATAAACGTTTTATGTTCTAGACTTTGACGTTGTTAATTTATATTTTAGATATTAAATTCGAGTTAATATTTTATAAATACATAAAACTAATTGGATTTCAATTTTAATCTAAGAGGCCGTTTACCAAACGCATATCCGGGTAAGTGTTCACCATGTAACATTACCTCACTGAATAAATATAGTAAGAACCAAGAATCTTACCTGGTAAGAGCAAGACAAGGATCAAGAGTCTTACCCGGTAAGTGAGGGCGACGACTCTTACCACGGTAAGCGCTTACTGGGTAAATTATTGTATACTATGTTATTTTGATTGTGATAACTGGATTTTGGTTATCACCCAAGGTAATTAATACGTGATTATCTGATTAAATGATTACGTGATAGCATGATAAATTTGGTTTATTTGATCATG